TGCCTTGAGCCCTGCCAGTGAGGGGCCAGCCACAGCTTCTCTGGGCCACCTGTGCCAGTGTCTCACCACCCTCACAGTGAAGAATTTTTTCCTAATATCTCATCTAAATCTCCCCTCTTTCAGTTTAAAACTGTTACCCCTCATCTTATCACTACACCCCCTGATCAAGCGTCCCTCCTCACCTTTCCTGTAGGCCCCTGCAAAGTACTGGAAGGCTGCTAGAAGGTCTCTCTGGAGCCTTCTCTTCTCCAGGCTGAACAACCCCAACTCTCTCAGCCTGTCCTCACAGGGGAGGTGCTCCAGCCCCCTGAGCATCTTTATGGCCTCCTCTGGACTTGCTCAAGCAGGTCTGTGTCTGTCTTACGCTGGGGCCCCACACATTATGATGTTAGACTGCATTCTGAGCTTTGGCAAAGGAGCCAAAGAACGTATTTTTCCTGTGAACTTTGCTAACAGTTTTCACTGAAGGAGCTATGACTGCCCAAGCACAGCCACAAATGCTGTGTTCGTGAGGTGAGTGCAAAAGGGGAGTGCCTTTTCTGCTGAAAGTAGAACACAATGAATGAATCCAGTTACCAGAAGAGAGTTGGCTGTCAATCCTCATAGCAGCGTATGCTCAGTCTACACTTGGACTTATTTCGCTGTAGTCAGAAGTCTCACATTTCTAAGGCAGTCATTGTTCCACATTCTGTATTTATCCCCCTTAGCTCATAAAGATCATTATGTGAAGTGTAGAGCAGTACACAGCATTCAGTTTAAATAGCACACTTGGGATACGAGTTTCTGTGTGGATTACTCTCAAGAAAGCAAACTTTGGTGATTGAGGGAGGGAACCTGGACGATTCTGTGGAAATTGTTCTTAAAAGGGCTGATAAAAAGTATTTTGGCTTCAGTGTTGCTACTTCTACCATAAGCGCTTTTATCTAATACATCAATTTTAATATTCTCCAGGCTGAAAGCTAGTATTCGTGGTCTCAGCCTCTGAGTGAATAAGGAATGGCAGTATTGCAACAGCTCTAACCATTAAATGTGCTAAGTCAGGCACCTACCCTTCCAAAATCAGGAGGAAATAATTAGTTAAAAGTAAGTAACCTAATAAGTATACACAAATTTTCATTGCAATTTTTTATTGCTTTTAGTGGAATGAGCTGTTAGGAAAAAGTTGTCACATTTCTAAGGCAGATTCTAACCCTGCAGTCAGGGTTCTCAAGAAACCATATGACTTAAGGGTCTGGGGTTTGATGATAAGCCCTACATATCATGAAATGGCAGTTGGCAGCTCAGCAATAGATTATAAGGATTTATAAAGCAGTACAAGGTTTTTAAGGGAGCCAGGACTAACCTAATTGTTACATGTATACATTAGAGCATATCTGTGATAGAACAAACAAGTGACTAAAACTCTAGATAATAAAGACTTGAATAGATCATGATTTTAGGTAAACTAGGGCATGAAACTTTTTTGACTTGTCAATACCCAAGTACAACACAATGGCAGAAAATTAGTGGCCTGTTTTTGTGTCATGTTTCTTTGCTCTCTTTGTGATGAATTAGAAACATGAGTCAGGTAGCTAGCTTTGGGGGGTATTTATCCCACAGAAAATATCTCCAACAGAGGCTTTCCAGGTGACCCAGAATGTAAAACAAAACAAAACAAAACCCCACCATTAAAAAAGACACCATTAAAAGCTAAAGTGTTATAATAGTTAGAATGGATAGAAAACAAACATGGAAATAACTAACCTTAGATGTGGACAGCCTAAACTGTAATTTCATCCCTTCCCCCTAAGTTATTGTGCATATTGAAGTGTTAAGCAGAAGTATTACTACACCGCAGCTGTGTTAGAAAACAGGATTCAGAGATCTATGGCAACTAGCTTAAATGAGTATAAAGTTAATCATAATATTTTTGCTTGCTCTTTCAGTTGTACTTTGTAGTTAGTCTAATCCTGCCTATTTGATAGAAAGTATTTAAGAAATCTGCTTTCATTTCTTATATTTGCAACCTGTAGGACTTGAAACAGGGGAATGAAGGTCCAGAACTAGTCTCCAGTCATCAAATCCACTTCCTGATAGAAACTTTCTCCTAATTTCTATATATCTGTATTCATGGATGGGTTTTAACTTCAGAGCTTGTACTGTCATTGAGTGTGTTCTAGGTTTCTTTTCTTCTTGCTTCTTGATGTTTATCTCTCTTTTCCTCCTGCACTTGCTGCACTTGCTAAGCTAAACAATCTAAGATCTTCTAGTGCCTCTTGCCTACTAATCTAATAATTTCCTGCTGTCTCCACAGCCTCTGTCTTACTTGTTTCTCATTTGATTTCCAGAACATCAGTGACCATGGTTATCCACATTTTTCCAGGTGGCATGTCACCAACACCTTGTTCAGTGCCTTCAAGATTCCCTCTTTTGACTGAAAACACCTGACAGACCAGACTTATTGCCCTTTTTGCAGCCAGATCACAAACCTTATCAGACTGTGATCAAATAATACATGACAATTGTTGTCTTCAAAATAAGTCTTATGTACCATTGTATAGCAGGTATTTTTATTCCTAGTCCTTATGTCTGTGTTTTTGGAAGAGCTTCTTTTTTAATTATTGCTCAGGTTCTGGCTCAGCATTAGTCCACACTGCTTGCTTCCTTCCTGCTTGTTATACCAAGATGCTTCTACAGTGCTCACAGAAGAACTGATACAGCTGATTGTAGTATAAGACCTTAAGTAGAACTGCTTTGTCCTTACAAACTAAGTATTATGCTGTTTTCCAACTGATTGTCACTTATGGCCCAGAAAGCATGAAAATAAATTTAGATATGAAATCCCCATCTCCCAGGTTTAATTGTAGGGAATGCCTGAGAACAATGTAGCATCTCATAGCTAGAGACTGCATTCAGTTTCCACCACCATTGCTTTTCAGATATTCAGGAATCCTACCCTTTGTGTTGATCAAGACATCCCTTTCAGCTTCCTTTCTCTGCTTACCTGGGTTTTAAGTCAAAGCCAACTTAGGCAGCTGGAACTACTGTTATATTGCCAATTTAGTGCAGGGACAGTGTTCTGGTAAAAGGCCAAGTCAACTCAAATATAAAAAAACACATTAAAAAGTAAATAGTGATGACATTCAGCAATAAGATGTGTCCAGGAAGAGTTATAATGCACAGGACCACAGGATGTCTGTTGGAAATAGAAATTTCCTGTTAATTTAGCGTACATATTAAACTAATTCATGCTTGTTCCTGTTCTTTTTAAAGTGTGCTCACACAACTACAATGCTGAAACTGGTGTGCTAACATCTCCAAACTATCCCGATAACTACCCTGTCCAGACAGAGTGCATATACACCATCACAGTGGGAATAAACAGACAGATTGTGCTGCGCTTCACCAACTTCACCTTGGAAGGGAATAAACGCTGTACAGAGGATCATGTAGAAATCAGGCAAGCCTAATTATTTCTCTTGTCCTTACTACTGATAACCATGGAAGTTGTCCAAATCCACTTAGGCGTGTTCAGAAGCTATACACCTGTGCTGTCAATGTGGGAAAACGACTTACCAGAGAACTTTAAAGGCTACGTATTCCTCCTACCATCCTGCCCTGTTGTTGGCTCTCTGTCTTGGTAAATTCCAGTTCTCAGAACAAGTGGAGTATGTAGACTGTGTTCCCACACACCGTATTCTGGTTGTTTTAGTTAGTGCAGAAATAAAGATTTTTATTGCCTGTTTTGTGATATATTCTCCACGATATTTGAAAAATCATGGCAGTCAGGTGAAGTCCCTGGTAGGTGGAAAAAGGGAAACATTGCACCCATTTTTAAAAAGGATGGAAAGGACCCTGGGAGCTACCGACCTGTCAGCCTCAACTCTGTGCCTGGGAAGATCATGGAACAGATCCTCCTAGAAGCTATGGTAAGGCACATGGAGGACAGGGAGGTGATTTGGGACAGCCACCATGGCTTCACCAAGGGCAAGTCCTGCCTGATCAACCTGGTGGGTTTCTATGGTGGAGTGACTACATCAGTGGACAAGAGAAGAGCTATGGATGTTGTCTGTCTGGACTTCTGTAAGGCCTGTGACACAGTCCCACACAACATACTTCTCTCTAAATTGGAAAGATATGGATCTGATGGGTGGACTGTTCAGTGGGTGAGGAATTGGTTGGTCACATCCCGAGGGTAGTGATCAATGGCTTGATGTCCAGATGGAGACTGGTGACAAGTGGTGTCCCCCAGGGGTCTGTACTGGGACCAGTACTGTTTAATATCTTCATTGATGACATAGTGGAATCGAGTACACCCTCAGCAAGTTTGTGAACACCAGGCTGAGTGGTGGGGTTGACATGCCTGAGGGACAGGATGCCACCCAGAG